CTTTATTTTCTTTTGGCAAAAAAATAATTCATTTTTTTAATCTCTGTTTGCGCTTCAATGCACGTTATATTTAATTGTACTTCTTTATCCATGGGATAAGGTTTTTTGTACCTGTGATGCCGGGTGGCCATTAGATAAATAAAATTTTTTACTTTTGTTTAAAGTTTTTGTTAATACATTGAGATAATATATAGTATAAGCAGGCAGCCAAACCCACCATATGAAACAAGATAGTTTATATTTGAGATTTGAGACTGCTTTTTGGTGTTATTCTATAGTTTTCATTGGAATTGTTTGTTTTCCAATAACTTTAAAGGAACCACTTCACCTAAGAGAATCTCCTTACCACTTGAACTTACCTTTAAAATGTTGTTTTTTTATGCAAAAACCTTGTTTTGTTTCCGACTTACAAAATATCAAAAAAATTATTTCGCAGTCTACAATAAACAAGGGACCATAAAACAGTTCCCTTTTTTTTTTTTTTTTTTCAAACATGATTGTCTAGTCTAGACCTTGCATCCATAGGTAGCTATAGGTAGGCACATGACTTGTCTCTAGAGATGGATGGCTTATTAAAATTCTATGGGCCCAAGTGGCGTTGGAAGAATTCAAACAAAGGTTTTCAACATGATTAGCTTCTCATCTCTCCTTAAGTCAACCTCAATGGGTTGATTCTCAAAACAGTTGACCAATAGCAAAAACAACTTGGAGGATGGGCAGGAGAAAGCAAAGCAAAACGGGACCATGCTTTGTAAGGTTTCAACACAAGCTCAATCAACTTTGAACTAATTCCATTAAGACCAAGATGTTTATACAAGATTTTGATATTTCCTTTTTACAAGATGAATACAAGCACTCAACAACTATCAACACCAATCAAATGCTTTTGCATTTCAAAGCTAAGAAACTTGGTTGAGAGTTTGTTACCTAGGGCCAGAGAGCTCCATTGCTTCTACCACAAGTGAGGATTCTTCTATAAAATCTGAGTATCTTTGAGGAGGGTTTTCCCATGGTCGGAACCTTTGGATCTCAACCTTCTGTGATGCCTCCCATCTCTCAGCTAAACCATCACCTTCTAACATCCTTAATACTTCTGACATTTTAGGCCGGTGAGAAGGGTTGAATTGTGTGCATAAAAGAGCGACACGTACCATTTCTTCCAACTCAATTCCGTCAAAATTTCCCTTGAGATCCTTGTCCAATAACAGGCTCAGTTTGCCTTCCTGATGGAGCTTCTTTACCTGCAAAGTCAACCATGAATAAACTAATGTTTGATCATCCAAGGCAAAGAGAACTTGTAGGACTGCACTTCACTAGGTTCAAGCAATCAAGGCAATGGAAATAACGTGGTTAATTTTATAATTTTTGAATCTGATGTAGCAGGTTATGATGCAAATAAAGTCATTTAGGCATTTATCTATGAATTGAAGAACTTAAAATATACTGAAAGGTGAAACAGTATGACGGTAACAACCAATCATTTACGCAGTTCAAGTATCATTCACACCATACTTCCAATTGCTTTGAAGCCAAAAGACTAGTTAGGATATTAGAGAGAGTACCCAATCAAGCATTACACCCTTCTGGTTTGCTCCTCGTCCAAAATCTAAGGCCTTCTGACCTGTGATTAGCTCAAGAAGCAGGATACCAAATCCAAAGACATCAGTCTTTTCAGATGACTGGCCAGTTGACAAGTACTCAGGAGCAATGTGGCCAACAGTTCCACGCACTGCTGTGGTAACATGAGAATCTCTGTGGTCTAGAAGCTTTGCCAACCCAAAATCTCCAACAACAGCCTCAAAGTCTCCATCCAACAAAATGTTGGCTGCTTTGACATCACGGTGGATAATTTTGGGGTCACATTGCTCATGCAAATAAAGTAGTCCTCTAGCTGTACCCAAGGCTATCCTCTTTCTCCTTGCCCAGTCTAAAGCAGGCCGCCCATGAATGTAATCTAAAAGAGAATGCCAATAAATTGAAGAAATTAATCGGCAGTTGATGCCAGATTATCTTCTAGATTACTCAAGTGTTTTCAAGTTAGAGATGTATGAACATTTTGTCAATTCCAAGTGATTAAGTAACTTAGCAGGTCTTGAAACAAAAATGAAAATTAAACACTAGATTCCACTAACAAACCTCGTAGTCTAGATGCCACACTTCCATTTGGCATATAAGGGTAAACCAGAAGTCTTTCATTCTCAGTTGAGCAGAACCCACGGAGCCGTAGCAGATTTCGATGGACAGCCAAACTTATCGTCTCTACTTCAGTCTGAAACTGGATTTCACCACCAGCAATATTATAGTCCTTCAGCCTTTTGACAGCCACCAGATTCCCATCATTCAAGCATCCCTTGTAAACAATCCCAAATCCACCTCGCCCTAAAATATTCTTTGAGCTGAAATGATCCGTTGCAGCCCTAAGCTCCTTAAATGAATACCTCTTCAAATGGCCCAAGCGAACCTCTGGGTCATATTGCTCTGTCAAAATGAAGAGCGAGCTCAATTCAGAGATGACTAAGAAGGGGAAGATCAAAATGTTTTGCAACACAAGCAAGCAGAAAGCACCAATATAGTTGTCATGGAGTATGATATCTATAGAAACAAGTTTAGGAAACCAACCATTGACATCAAAGAAAATTTGCTGGTTGTGTCTATATCGCCACCAAACAAACAACCCAATAACAAGTATCACAAAAAATGCAGCACCAAAGCTCGCAGCAAAAGCAACAACCATTTGATGGCTTTTTGTGCCAGAGTTCCCTTGAAGTAAAGAAACCAAAGATGCAAAGATTCAAATATCAGTCAATTTCAATATTGAACTGAAATGTAAGCAGAAAAAACTTTCACATATAACTCAAGGACAGACACCTTTTAGACCATCTGGTGGAAGAGAAATTGGTTCCGGAAAGACTGCAGCACAGTTGTTGCCTTTAGGGCCACAAATTAAAGGGTTCCCAAGAACTCTGAAGAATGAAAGAAGGACAAGAATTTATTAAGTGATCAACTGATAAAATAGAGCGCTGTAGCAGGGGAAACAATATCTTACTTGAATGTCCTTGCAGATATTTTTGGCAGGGAACCCCTAAGGTTGTTATATGAAAGGTCCCTACAACAAGTTTACACGTACAACAGTGAACACATGTGGAGACTATATATCATGATTCATGAATTTTCATGATTTGCAATTGCAAGGATGTTGACAATAATGGAGCAAACCACAGTTTAAAAAAAGTGCAGATACATACACAAGAGTGAGACCCTCAATATTTGAGAGTGATTCAGGGCAGGGTCCTGTGAGACTGTTGTTGTTTAACCGCCTGACTTGCTCAGCGAACCAAACAGAACATGTGAGAGACAAAACCAGAAAGAAAAGCATGGAGATGCAAATTGAAAAAACACAAACTTGGACAAACATAAACCTTGCATAAATTCTTTGAAACTTACAAATAGTTAAGGTTTTTGAGATCCCCCAAGGAGGAAGGTATTTCACCACTGAATGTGTTGTTGGAGAGATCGAGTGTCTTAAGGTTCTCCAACTTCCCAATTGTTTCTGGAATAGGACCTGAAATGGCATTATTCTGCAGCAAGCTACATATTAAGACAAGCATGTATGTTAGTCACATAATGAAAAGTGAAAGAATTTTGAGGCTGAAAATGAATAAATCCAATATTATATCATATAAACAAAATGAAGCACAAAAGATCATAATCAGAGGCAATCGCTTACACTGTCTGTAAATTAGTAAGGTTTCCAATCATTGGAGACAAGGTCCCAGATAAGCTCTGACTTGGAAGCCCCCTGATTAGAAAATAAAAAAACATCCACCTAAATGCAATGCTCCAGGTATGAAGTGAAAGGTCTATGAAGGATTTTCTGTTCATTTCGTATGCTCAAATCTCTGGGTTTAACCGATTAAGTATGGAGGATGTGAAGAGAATAAAAGAACTTACAAAGCATAAACATAGCCATCTGAAGTGCAAGTAACCATCCTCCAGCTACAAGGATCCACAGAATTGCTGTCCCAATTCTCCAGAACATTATATGGATCGTGTAGATTACCTTTAATAGCCATTAAAGCTTGAACTGCACAAAATTCATTGGAAGATAGTTTGAACGGTGAGGAATTTCACACTTAATTATGCACATACAAGGTATCTAAGATATTTTACTCAAAAAGAAAGGGAAAATCACTCCTTTTGTAAAGCGCTCTTCTAACCCAGAGATTTAATGAAAAATATATTAAACAAAAAATTGAAAATACATTCTGAAGGGAAATTTTCCAACAAATTCCTCTACTTTTACCCTGGAAAATTCAGCTCAGCATCTGAGTTGCAAGAAAGTCGAGAAAAGAAAATTACTTTTCAAGCAAATTGTTAAGTACCAAAGACCAAAAACTCACAGGGAGAACTTACCTTCATAGTTTACACCAGAAGGAGAGAGAGTAGCAGAAGCAATCCTCATTAATGCCAAAACCAAAAACCCCAGTTTAAACAGTATGGAACTCTTTAATTCCATACTCTCTATACTCTCTCCTCTCTGTCTCTCTCTCTCTCACAGCTCACTCAACTTTACTTTCTCTGCACCGCCAGTCCCCACTTCTGAACATCACCATAACCAGCCATCCTCACATGAAGATGAAGCAATCTCTACCCAAGCAAAAACGTGTCTGTTAGACTCATAACCACATGAACCACACCCACCATTACCCAAAAAGGCACCTCCTTTCGATATTCCACTTCTTAGAAAAACCCAGATGCTAAATCACTGCATTTTCAAACCACCAAGCTCAGTATAGAAAATATGAATCAGAGGGAGTAGAATGAGCACTAAATGTGCTAAGAAAAATACAAAAAGATGAGAATTTTCTCGAGAAACAAGCACCCTTTCCAACTCCTGAAATTGAGATCCTAGAGATCTGAGAAACTTGAGTCCAATTTCTATATCTCCTGGTTGATCCCCACAAATTCCACGTAGCTTTGTTGCTGGTTTCCAGCTCTGCTCTGCTCTTCTCTTGAAAGTCACGTTTCCACTACCATTATCTCCTTCCCCACCCCCACACCCTTTCTCTTCCCTTCCCAATCTTCAAACCCACAAAAGAAAATGAAAGAACCAAACAAGCAAATGCCAAAACAAAATGCCAAACATAACACAGATACAGATGCAGACACAGTAACAAAAAACTGGGTCTACAAAAAAAACACAAAACCACTGTGACAATTAGCTTAAAGCACACTCCTTTTTGGTAATTAACTTGCTTTGGGGTTTTAAAATTAAAAATATGGTGATTGGATGTAGGGGGGGTATGGGATTGAACAGAAGAGCACAATGGGATGTGGATGTCTATATGGGCAAAAGGCGAGAAATTTTGCAGAGGTAAAGTTTTTTGTCAGGTCACGTGCTTGGATTGTCTTGGCCTTTGTTGGCTTGCGGCTTTGATTTTCCATTCTTTTGTTTTTTATAATTCCGTTGAAAAGCCTTTTAGCAGGTGTGACCCAGTTTGCTAATTTGCGCCGAATGTCTCAGAGGATGTTTTAACGGAAATCTCATTTTCTTCGCCCAAAACTGAAAGCTAAAATATAATATACTAACATCGTAATAATAATAATAATCAAAGAAGATGACTGATAATTCTCGCCCATGATCATAGACACGCTTTAAAAGAGTCAAAATTTTATAAATATTTATAAAATTTTGACTCTTTTAAAGCGTGTCTATGATCATGGGCGAGAATTATCAGTCATCTTCTTTGATTATTATTATTATTA